CACCAGTCAAATGCTTCCTTTTGTGATCTGATGTGGCTTCTTGTCACAGAATGAGGCAGAAAATATGTTCCATAGGCTACTTTAAAAAGAATACATCGATTAGCAATGGATTATAAATACACTTAATTGTTATGAAAATACCAGAGATGATTTGAATAACACAGATAAACTATATCGTCGCAGTCGAGTATTTATTGTCTGTTTTATCATTCAAAACATTTATATGTTCTGTTTTCTCAGTTACAGCTACAATAGCATGCCTTTGTCCATATAAGGGATTTCCTGGAGGGTCATGTGTTCCGCTACTTCTGTGACTGGATATGTGGATTTTCTGTGTGAGGGCGCCCTCTGGCATCCAGTATGAATGAAACAGACATCATGTGTTTATAGTGCTAATGGCCAATCCATAATTTTTGGGGGAATTTTTATTTATTTTTTAATTTTTTAAATAAGTATTGGTTCAGGCACCGTTTAGGCACCGGAACCATTTTAAAAGTATCGATTTGGCACCGGTATCGAAAAAAAATGATACCCAACCCTACTACCATGATATAAAAATACTATGTTAATATAATAACAAATTAAATCTATACTACTACATAAGATTTTAAGTATTATATATAATTTATTGAATTTTATATATAATATACTATTTATATTATAACAATTTTTTACATTACATTGAGTTAAAAATGTGGTTAACTTAATGTCATGAAAATAATATCACAATGCATTATAAAAAATACTTTTCACTTTCTTTACACAAAATATAATTGATTTTCTTTTCCATTTTTTATTTCAGAAAAACACGTTAACTAGTTTCTTTTACATCCTCTTATATTGTGGACATTGTGTTCGCAAAATGTACACGTAATGGGCAAAAGATTCTTGAAAATGTCAAAGTTCACTGTCAAGATTTAATTAAACCCACATTAGAGAATAAACAACATTTTAAGCGTTACCTGATAGGGGTAATTGTACCAGCACTGTCTCGTATCCCACATCCAGAGAGACTAGAAAACACACACACACAGTTAATTGATAAATCATATAAATACACCCCAAAAAAAGTAATATCTGTCTGTAATTCTACATCTTGCAGTTGTAAGTCACCTGCCACAGGAAACGGATCCCATATATAAATATACACAGATAGAATGTAAACCTCCACCTGCAGAGAAATCAGAGAAAACAAATGACTGAAACTCAAATTCATGACTGCATGTAGGAGGAGCCACACAGTACTGCAATCAGACAAGGAAACACTGAAAACAATCCCATTAATTCAATCAAACCGAGGCCTGACTTTACTGCTGAATCACAGAGAACATGGGTGGGCGGATCTTTTGTTTGACAACAAATGCATCTGAACAAAATCAGATAAATCAGGAAAGACCCCATACGGCTGTTTCCAAAATATAGGACGACAGATGTAAAAATTTCCCATATGAAAACACAATAACCTGTTCTTCCAACTTCAACATGCATTTATACTTTTACAGCCTGTCTAGAGCACTTACAGTGAAAAACTGACCAATGGAGGAGGAGTCTCCACCCACCACCACTCCATGAGTACTTTTCCATTCAATTTCCATTTAACCTTCAAAATATTCATCAATAAAGATTTCTAATGAAGCAAACCAAGATGAATTATACTAGAAACTGGAAGCATGGTGTAGTGCAAATATTGTTGATAAATTCCTCATTACTTTTAATAAAAGCGTCTAATAAATGAATATATGTAAATGTATAAATTTCACAATGGAATTTCCGAATGGCATTTTCCTTTTATTCCCGAGAAACTGTTAATATGCTAAATGATGAATAAAATAAGATAAAAAATAGAATAAAATAAAAACTGTGCATAAAATACAAAAAGTGAAAGCAATATTGTAGTGCAAATATTCTTAATTTATTCTATCAATAAAAGTATAAAGTATAATAAATGAATAAATGTGTCCCTGGAGCACAAAAGCAGTCTTAAGTCGCTGGGGTATATTTGTAGCAATAGCCAACAATACATTGTATGGGTCAAAATTATAGATTTTTCTTTTATGCCAAAAATCATTAGGATATTCAGTAAAGATCAATGTTCCATGAAGATATTTTGTAAATTTCCTACTGTAAATATATCAAAACTTAATTTTTGATTAGTAATATGCATTGCTAAGAACTTAATTTGGACAAATTTAAAGGCGATTTTCTCAATATTTAGATTTTTTTGCACCCTCAGATTCCAGATTTTCAAATAGTTGTATCTCGACCAAATGTTGTCCTATCCTAACAAACCATACATCAATGGAAAGCTTATTTATTTATGATGTATAAATCTCAATTTTAAAAAATTGACCCTTATGACTGGTTTTGTGGTCCAGGGTCACAAATGTAAAAACTGATGCCATGTTTTTCATATGGTAGAGCACTAGCATGCATGTGTGCTAACAGCAAAATAAATAAATAAATAAATAAATAAATAAATGAAACCATACATGCTCTCGCAAAACTTGGTTCTTGTGCTGGGTTTGTCCTGGTTCCGCCGGTGTCGAAACCATCGCTGGACCTTCCGCACGTCCCAGTCCAGCTGCTTAGACAGACCCTCTAAGTGCCTCGAGTCTGGGGACTGAAACAAACAAAGACAAATAAACAGAACATGTATTCATATTGGCTGTGGAAAGCATAATTATGAAATTATGAATACACTAGCTAGCATTTGATTTATTTGTTCTAAATACACACAAGCAATTAATGTTTTCACACTTTTTGCATAATTTGACAAAACTACAGCTAAACTGGAAATGGCACAGAATTATTATTTCATAAAATTATTAATAACTCAATTGTCTTATATCTCAAGATCTTCACTGACACATTTGTATACTAATAAACTCATAATAAATAAAGTAATAAAACATTATAAGGTAAAGAATTTTTTGACGCGGAAATTATGTTATAGGCGTAATTTATGTTAAAATGTATGTAAATCACAATAAATATTGAATAAGTTACATTTATTTCACCGTATCTTTTTCTTTATGTCAGTTTTAAATTGAAGTAATATATTTGTAATGGATTTTGACAAAGTCTTTAAAGTCAGGGTCTGAGACAAAAGTAAATAAATTCTAGTTTTCGTTAAAAACAAACAAACAAAAGAACAGAAATTAAAATCAAACCCTGGAACATAAATTGGTTAAAGTTAATGTAAAAATGTGTGTAAATCACACAATAAATAACGAATTAGCTGCATTTATTTAACTTTTTCTTTATCTTTGTGACAGTTTTAAATTGAAATAGTATATTTATTATGGATTTTTACATTGCAAGTTTTAAAGTTTGGGTCTGGGACAAAAGTAAATAAATTAAAGTTTTCATAAAAAAAAAAAAAAAAAAACACCCTGGAACCTAAATTGCTTTAATATAATAAATAAAACACACACAGATGCCCGAAGTTCAAGAAAGACCTACAGAATAACCAGCAAAACGACAAATGAAAAGTGAGACCACATATTGACAGCTTTCTTCCGGCGACCAACCAAAGTTATCAGTTCAGATTTCCACCCAACAACACCAGCTCCAGAGCTGATGAAGACAGTTCACAGCAGCTCGACAAAACAGGCCTTTGTAAAGAATGTCACAACTCTATTCACCTGTCTGCTAATGTTAAACCTGTTTGAGCTGTATTTATAGTTAGTTTCTAGACTAAAGTTGAGGATATTGCTCTGATGGCCTCATAAAACACACACAGTGACAGCAGAGGATCAACAGGTTCATAAAAGAGAAATGTATTTTAATCATATTTCACCAGTTTACTTCACATTGAGCCTCAGCTTTGGTGAATGACTCTCTCTCTCATGGCTTAATTTTCCATGACGCTGCGTTAGCATACCTTTGTGATGGATGTAAACACTTTCTCCAGGATGGCGTTGGGCTGAGCTCTCCGACTCAACTCCATCTGGATCTGAAGGATGGAGGCACACGGACCCGCGATATACCTGCGGGACGAAAGCAGAGATAAAACACCTTATCCTGCACCATCAAGACAGAATTCGAGTGATTTACATACCGCTCCTACTAATCCAGATCAAAACCAAACACTTACATAAACTGTTTTGCAGATTTTATTTTTATGTTGGATTGGCAAAGTTTCTCCTCTTGAAGTTTTCAAGGTACAACCACCGAAATCTGACAGACTGATCTGACATGTTATAATCATGCTATCAATGTGCTAAAACATGCTAGCAATGTGTTAAAGGGGTCCTATTATGCTTTTTCACTTTTTCAATTTCGAACAACCTAGTATGAGAGCCTGTTCTAGTACACCCCCGAAACAAAATCAAGACTTTGTAAAAGAGCATAATAGGACCCCTTTAAAACAAGTTAACAACATGCTAAAACATGCTAGAAACGTGTTAAAATATGTAAGCAACATGTGAAAAAATGCTAACATGTTAAATCATGCTAGCGACATGCTAAATCATGTTAGCAAGGTGCTAAACCATGCTAGCAACATGCTAGAACTAAACTAAATTTTAAACAGTATCTACTCCTAGAGTTTTTATGCTGAAACCCCAAACATGTTAACAACATGACATGTTAGCAACATGCTAAAACATGTTAGCAACATGCTGAATTTGTTAACATCAAGCTAAAAGATGCTAACAACGTGATAAATCATGCTAGCAATGTGATAAAAAAAGCTAACAAAGTGTTCAAACATGCTAATTCATGTTAACAATGTACTAAGAAATGCTAACATGTTAAAAAATACTAGCGTTCTGCTAAAACATGGTAACATGCTAATTCATGTTAACAACATGCTAACATGCTAGCAACTTGCGTAAACATTTGAACAATGTGCTACGTTAAAATAACTTTTTATTGAGTTTGAGTAAAATCTTCAAACTTCAAGCTTTTCAAAGTTATTTCAAACTTTCAAACAAGGCTTTGTCAGGCCAGCATTAAAGTTTGTTCGTAAACTTTACTCATCTAGTAACTACTGTCCTTCTACTCAAACAAATCTATATTTAAAGCAAATTAACACAATTAAACAACATAGTTCTAGTAGAAGGTGCTCAACTAGAGGGAAAAAAAACAAGAACAAAAATATCCCAAAACTTACAGTTAATTAAAAGTCTCAGGTGAGATAAGTGATTAATATGATAAACTTAGTGGCTAGTTTAACTAGTTAATTTCGAGACGGCAGCATTTCTGACGCATTACAAAAAGCCATTGATTTGACTAATGCAAAATCCAGTTACATTCCTAAAACTTCACCGAATGCAAAAGAAATCAGTCTGAGTCCATGATTAATGAACACCAGAAGCTGCTGATGAAACTTAAGGATGGGAACATTTATGAGAGTGACACTTCAGATTGGATTGAATCTATAAACAAATTAAGGAACGAGCACTGGCGGTAGATAAATCTTACATCGTCAGGATAGGTTTACCTCACACTATCAAGAAATCAAATAAGAATCAAATGCATCCATGTCTGTTCACAGAAGTAAATCAATGGAAACTTACGGCTTTTATATCATTACAACAGGAGTCAGGACTGGGTTTTCTAAGAAACCATGCTAAAAAAAAAAATGTGGATGTGAATTTCGGCCGGGAAAATCTGTTTGCCCAAACAATTACAGATAGGCAAGTATTTAGGGAAACCTGTTGCAAAACATGCATTTTTGGCAAATTTAAAAAAATATATTAGTGACACAAAAATCACACATTAACAGCAAAACTGCCAACAGAGTTTCTGTAATTCAGTTTTTTTAAACTGTATGAAACGGTTTCATTAAAACTTTCTGGACACTTCATCATTACTTAAAAATGCTCACTAAAATGCACGTTTTAGTACATTTTTTAAGTTTTAGGAAAATATTACTGTTTACTTTTATTTATTGTTAATTTGGTGAAATAAAATAATTGTAGAAATTGTGAAATAAAATTAAAATATTGTAGCATTCATTTATATAAAAAACAATGTGGAAAACATTTTTTATTTCAGATTTTTATTGTATTTTATGTTTTACATTGAACATTTTGAATGCACTTAGCATTAATTGATATTTGATCAAAAAGATGGCTTCTGAAAATAAATACAGAAATACAGGCAAAAGAGAGAAAAAATATAAACTATATAATAAATATAAAAAAATAAACCTCTTTCAAACACACTAGCAAAAACAGGTTGCTCCTAATACAAAATATTTAAACAAAACTTTTCATAATTCCTCATCATGTTCAATAAAACCATCTAATAAATGGAAAAGTATATATTTCACAATGGAATATCTGAATGGCATTTTCATAATATTCCCAAGAAACTGTTAAGATGCTATATGGTGATTTTTTTTATAATAAAATAATATAAAACAATTGAACTAACATAAAAAATGTGCATAAAATAAAAAATGTAAAAATAATGAATTATTAGCACTATTTTTGGCAAAATATTTGGAAAATTCTGTAATTTTTTTCTGTAATAAGTTTCTGTAATTCGTTTTTTTAACAGTTTCATTAAATTATTTTCTAAACACGTTCTTTCATCATTACTTAAAAATGTTTATTGAAATGTAAGTTTTAGTCAAATATATGTAGGGAAATATTGCCATTTACTTATATCTAATTTGGTGAAATAAAATAATAAAATATTGTAGTGTTCGTCATTGGTAATTTTTATTTCAGATTTTTACTGTACTTTTACATTTAATATTTTGAACCAACCATGAAACAATGGCTATTTGGTCAAAAACGCTTTCAAAAAAACAAACAAAAACAAACTCACAGATCGCTCCTCGTGCAAAATATTTAAAGCTTTTCATACCAACAAATATGGCAGTTAATTGTGGTCAAAGTTCTTAATAGAAAACTCGCTCCACGTCTCTCCAATAAAACCGGGCCAGCGAGCAGCTTAATAAACACACCGCTCCGTAATAACCCTCACTGGCCGTAGTAGAAATGTGTTGACAATGGTTGTTTTGACCAGTTCCTTAACCCAGAATTGGCACACGCGGTTGAACTATGTCTCTAGCCCCGTTAAACTGCACCGCCGGCCCACAGACACTGCATGCTAAACTGTGGAATCTGACACTCGCCATAAAAAGCTAACTATATGTTTTAATTAAAATGGGGGAAAGACATTTTGAGTGTCTCATGGCGAAGTTAAGCATCTTTGCAGAGCACCAGCACACTAAGGCTAAGACACAAACAGAGTTGTGTAAAAAGTGACATTCCCTATTTGACACATTCGCAATATTCCTTTTGCGACAGCAAGGTCAAAGTGACACTTGGGTCTGAACTAAACATTAGCCCGCTGACTGAGACGACACTAAAATCTCAGCTACTTCAATAGTAAACAGACGTTTTGAACAATACAATCTCGGTTAATCTGTGAATGCCAGTCTCAGCAAAATCTCAATCACTAAAGCTGCCCCAGCCGGACTTGGCCTGTTGAGTCACATGACCGTCTGTGTTTTGTTTCAGGCCGGTGGGCTGCACTGGTGGGACGTCTAAAGACACAAACTGTCAGCTCCAAGAGAGCAGACTCCAACGTGGGACGAGGGCTTTTCCTAGTCTGAGACAATAGAAGGTCTTGTCACTGCACACACGTGATCTTTTGTTGGGTATAAATTAAAACCTGATCCATGTGCACAACTATGTTTAAACTGCAAAACAAAATTGTTCTTCATTAGTATTTTAGTCTGGTTTTCCATTACAAATACCAAACATTTACTTGAGAAGGAAGATTACTTATATGACAAGATATTCTTGTTTTCTGAGAAATGCATCAAAATTAAGTTTAAACTTAAAATTTCTTGCGTTAAGTTTAAACCAGCGGGACGCTCTGCGCTCTTTTTTATTGCCTTTCACATAATTTAGTAATCATCGTAAATTAAATATAATTTAAAAGCTTAAAAACTCAAATTCTTTCTGTGAAAACCATTTTGGAAATGTACTTTCTAAAAATAGTGAAAAGTGAACTCCTCCTCCTCAAAATTGACTGTAATATTTTATAATAAACACTTTTCATAATCTTGTCAAAATGCATACCGTTGGAAAAGTCTGAGTCTCAAGATTCCATATTTTGTGGTAGAAGTAATATTGCGACAGAAATGTATAAATTTGTGACAGGAAAATGCATAAAAATTCAATGGAGTTTTGGTGTCATCATGTAGCAATTTTTGGTATAATGCCTAAATAAAATCTCACAGGAACTTCATTTTTTTAATATCAACCTCAAATTTGGAACATAACTTATTTAAGCACATGGCTTTGATTTTATAGCAATTTCAGATTCCAAAATATTTTGTAAAATATTTATTTTATATAAAGTAAAAACGTTTTAGTACAGTACATTTTCTTTACAGTAAACTTAAACTTCTATAACTTTTTATACTTAATTTTTAACAAAATGCACTTTCACTGAAATTCACTTCAGCAATAATCTGCTGATTGTCTTCTGTAAACTTAAAGCAAGAAAAAATATCTGTCAGTGAGAAACTTGTTGGAAAATATAAATTTTGGCATTTCTATTTGGAAAAACTAGTGGCATAGAAATTACTTGAACAGCAAAACCTCCAATAGAGTTTCTGCAATTTATTATTATTATTTTTTAATTGTATGAAACTGTTTTATTGATTTTCTAAACATTACTCATTCATCATTACTTAAACTTGTTGACTGAAATGTAATCTAAGTTTTACTAAGTTTTTTTTTTAGTTTTAGCAAAAATATTTGCTGTAAGCAAATATCCGTCAGTTGGGTGAGAAAAATCATTTTGTTTTCCATTCATGTTAAGTTTATTTTTCTCACAGCACTGAAAGGTATTTTTTTTTGTTTCAACAATCTAATTTAATTTTTATACATGTTTAGAAAAGAAGACTTAAAGGTCCCATGGCATGAAAATGTCACTTTATGAGGTTTTTTAACATTAATATGAGTTCCCCTAGCCTGCCTATGGTCCCCCAGTGGCTAGAAATGGTGATAGGTGT